GTATTTCTGAAAAACGCAGAACAGTTTTTGAAAGATACTTTTAAAGAGCCGGGAAGGGACATTTTCGAAAAATGGGAACTGGCAAAACAAGAAATTAAGGCAATCGACATTGAGAGGTCATCAATTCTTTAGTACAACGCCCGGTGTGAGGAACGCAGTTTAAATAAGGACCTGATAGAGCTGTGTAAAGCAGAGTGCGAAAGACCCGGTAATGGGGTAAAAGACGTGGAGTATGTAAAAAAAAATTAGATCAGCTCCACCGCGAGCGCTATCGTGGTGTAGTAGTGCGCGCCCGTGCAGAAAAATACACAATGGGCGAGCAGCCCACTAAGCGTGCCTTGGCAGACGAGAAGCGTTACGCACTTCGGAACGAAATAGCCGAAATTGAATTCGAGCAAATGATTACTACGGATCCCGAGAAAATAGCACAGGCCTTCCTCGAGCATTACGCACAGCTTTTTGCTAACAAAGCGCAAGGGTGTCACACGGACATTTATGCCCAGCTTTTAGTAAAACTGCCAAGGCTATCGAATGATGAACGCGAAAAGCTTGAGCAAGAAATTACGATCCAAGAAGTGGAGCGCGCAATCGACGACCTGCCGAACTCTAAGACGCCGGGACCGGATGGATTGGGCGCAGAATTTTACAAGAAGTTTAAGAGCCTAATAGCTAGTGTTTTTTTGAACGTCATTCATACTGCCTATGAAAGAGAATGTTTGCCCTTTTGTTTTCTCGTGCCTACACTGTCCTGATACCGAAATCTGATGACCCCGTGAAACTGCGCAGCGTCACCGGTTATCGCCCAATAACGCTATGCAATACCGATTACAAGATCTTCGCGAAAATTCTGGCGCGTCGCCTTCAAGGTGTCGCATGTGAGATAATAAGCGAGCATCAAACGTGTGGGATACAGGGGAGGACTATCTTGACAAATGTGCATGTGGCTCGTAGCGTCCTGGAGGCCTGCAGTGACAGCACCACGCAGGTTGCAGTGTTACAGATAGATCTAGATAAGGCATTCGATCGTGTTAGCCATGATGTACTCTTTGATGTTTTGAGTCATGTCAATGTTGGTGACGCCATCCTAAAAGGTGTAAAGATGGCCTATAAGGACTGTACAACAAGGCTTATAGTGAACAAAGGGCTCAGTTCTGTTATTAACGTACGAGAGTCGGTACGACAAGGTTGCCCTATGTCTCCCCTCTTGTTTGATTTGTATTTAGAGCTTTTTTGTTTAAGCGTAAAAAATAGTCAACCTGTCCGAGGTTTCCAATTTTATAGTGCAGAAGTAAAAATAATGAGTTACGCCGATGACATTGCTGTTTTTTGTAGGGACAAAGAAAGCGTTACTGAAGTCATAACTTTGGCTAAAAGGTTTTGCTACGCTACTGGCGCTGTTATAAACTGGGAGAAGTGCCGTGCAAGTACTGTACCTCGGGGTGCCGTTGAAAAGTTTCCGGAATAGCCAAACGTACTGGTCGGGTGTCGCTACTGACCTGGACAGGCGTGCTTCTCGTTGGAAGCAACGCGAGCTGTCCATCCCGAGCGACTGTTTGTAACGTTTTTCTTATTGCGAAGCTCTGGTATGTTCTTCAGGTCATCCATTGTGCGCGAACTAATGTTCAAAAATTTCATAGAATTTTTGCCACGTTTATTTGGAACTCGAAGTATGAGCCGATGAGACGAGACAATCTTTTTCATCGAGTTAGTAACGGTGGCGTAGGGCTTTCCCACCTTTTTGTCAAGCAGCTTGTGTCACGCTTCTTTTTTTTTTCTTTTTTTTTTTTGAGAGAGACCAAGAGCACCCGTTCATTCGCACACTGATTCAAACAAAAGTGTCACCACATTTTCCATCTTTTCTTGTTTCTTCTCATGGCGGCGAGCCAACAAGAATCACTGGTTTTTTGAAAGAAGTTGTTAACACGATGGGGTTTTTGACAGCACGTTTTTCTTTGAATTATTTTTGTGATGTCAGTAAAAAAGCGCTCTATCGCGATTTAATTGTGAGTGTTTTCCCCATGCCCTTGTATCGAGGTGTGTCCCAACGTGGCCACGATGTGCTTAGACGTGTAAAAAGGATGTGTGTTCCCGCGGCTGTTAAGCCTTTCTTTTATAGATTGCACACGAATACCTTGCCAGTTAAGGTTTGGCTTAAAGAAAGAGGGATCTATGTGCCATGGTCGGTAAATTGCCTTCTATGTAAAAAACCTGAGACTATTGTACATGTGTTTATTTTTTGTTGGGACGCGGTATTTTGTTGTACCCCAACAGGGATACGTGTGGAGAACCTCTACCGTCTCTGGAGCCCGGAAGTGTGGGGTTCGTCGTTTGTAACATACTCCGCAGCAATCACAAGTTGTTGAGCCGTATCAAAAATGAGATCTGGCGTGGCGAGAAGGTGTCGCTGAATGGCTTCCTCGCATAGCACACAAACTAACTGGTCGCAAAACTTATACGAAAATGATGTCTACTCGCAGTGCTGAGCGACACGACGCAGCACAGCAATGTAGTCGGGCACAGACTCACCGGCAGCATTTGTTGAGCATGAACCGGTGACCAGTTACCAATGTCCTTAGCCCTAAGTCTCTTCAAAAGTGTAGAAAAAATACCAGATTGAAAGAGGGGCACACACGAAGGGTTCACATGCGCGGTAGAAGACTGCACGATTCATGTCGTCGTCCACGAACTCGTCAGGCAGCAAGTAGAATTAAAGTCCAACTGCTCTTTAGCGTGTTTCCATTCTTCTGATGTGAATGCTGGGTGTTATGCCACATGTTATGTACAAAAGCAGAGGTTACATACATTCAAACTGTCTAGATTAATGAAAGGAAAAACACAGCTGCTTATTCGAACAAATTCAATCCAACGTCTGCTGCGTGCCCAGGATTGTTGGGTGCGATTTCGGATCCGACACGAGTTTTTAAATCTCTGTTTGTTTTGCAGAAGCGTTAGTCTCGGGCTCTTGCAGACACATGTGATGTGCAATTCCGACATGGTGCAAACTAAGTAAGAACAGAAGAGGTTTATTCATTGTTTACAGTTGGTGTTTACAGCGGAAGGGCGTCACAAGTTAAGGCTGTTTCACACACCTGCAACTACTTGCGACAGGAATGGCTTGAAACCGGTTTTAAGTCTCTTGTGACTGACTGGTCGGCCGTTCTGGTCATAAGCTGTTGCAAGTGTGTGAAGCCGCTTTTACATGAATAAGCTATAGTAGCTTCCAAAGTTACGACAACTCTCATGTGCCTTACACGTTTGAGGCGACATGCCCGTTTGCTTTACACTGGTTCTCGAGAGAAACTATGATTTCCATTCGTCAACTTCTTCTAATGTTCATGGGAGCTGTTGCTTTTGAGTGTGAACTTGCCATTTTGCTTTACAGCTCATAGCCACATCGTTCCCTCGTCTTCACTGTTGATTTTTGCGTGTATGCGCATCATATAAAGGCCCCAGTTGTTTCAAAGGGACAAAGGAAATAGCATTCTTTGAAACCAGCATTGCAGTGCAACGATATATTTAATGTGGTGAAATAAAAACTTCCAAAGTTCGAACTATGCACTCTAGTTTTTTCTCTTCATAGTTCCACTAGGCATGCGTATAGTCATATGCGTACCTCCATTATGAAAGGTTATCCAATGGCACGAGTGTTTCTGACGGTACTAAGCTAATCCCTTCACCACTTCCCGAATTTGCAGTTCGAGCGTCGAGCAGTTGTAGACATAGCCGCATTTATTTTGGTTCGGGAGAGCCGCGGCACCGCTAGAAGGCAAGCACGACGATCTGCGTCGCCGCGAGTAACGGTGATGCGATGACAACGTATACATGCGAAATAAAAATGCTGGCAATACTTCCAATTGAGCTTGTGGGTCAGCGTAAGCGTTCGTGACGACAGCGTGTATTTTCGTATAAAAAAAAAGCAAGCGTTCATGCATGCCATGGTTCACATCCACCCCGTCAGCGACGAACCCGCTCAGCAAGAATAAAGTCTACACCAGCGGCGACATCGAGAGAAGGTTGGACTTCGGATACCAGCGGTAGGCGTTGGTAGCTTCGCTCTTATCAATCGATGAGTTGGGAACGCTAGTAAAAGTACTTGCACCTTTTAAGCACTCCTGCAGAAGCACGATGCGAGACGTCGCATACTGCGGGCGCCACATGGTTGCGTCAACAAGTGTTCAGTCCCTCGCGGCACCGCGTTCACAGCGTCTCAGCCGCGACTGCGTCGACCGCGTACGCTTCCTGTTGAAGCGTTTCAGGCTTCAGCTACGACGTGAGTACGTGAGCTCAGGAGCACGATCATGAGCACCAGCAAGATCGATGTGAGCACGGACGCCGGACGGACAAGGCTAGACCCTAAGGAGCTTCGCCCCTAAAAGCGTTTCCTGTGATTTCAGATAAAGCTTCAGATAACTAACAGCCGCAGTTTTAAGCACCAAGATGGGAAAGTGTCATTACTCTGAAGCGTAGCTTATTAAGTGACTTGAGTTCAACCCGTACAAGCCACGCGTGTTCGAACGTGTCAGTGACGTGGCATCGACAGCATCCTTCTCGAGATTCGTGCATGGCTCGTGGCCCGCTTCGGTGTCTCGCCTCGTTCTGTCCGTTGTAGTGCTGGTAGTGCAGCCGGTGCATTCGTGCAGCTAGGGTTATAGAGGGGCTTCGAGCATCCCTATCGCACATGGCCTTCAAGAAGAATGTCCCGCCCAGCCCACCAATAAACCCTCCGTCCAGCCCGCCAAGAAGCCTCCCGCCGGGCGCCATCCCCAAAAAGCAAGTATAGCTGCACATTCGTCTGCTAATAGAATTTTTACGTGTTTGGCACGGGTCCCTACCGTTTCGTCGAAGCACGTTTCATGGGAACGCGTTACGTGGACACCTTTTTGTGGGCACATGTTGCGTCGACACTGCGATGTTACGTGGACACATGCTTCTGCAACGCTTCGTCGACAACGTTTCTTTTTTTTTTTCTTTTTTTGCTAAGTGGGTTGGACTACATTAGCATGATGTTCGAAGCGTCTTTAAATAATGGTGTTATTCTCAATTGCTTCAGGTTTACGGCGGATTGGGCGCTCAAAGATATTGAGATTGGGCGACCGTTGCGAAAGGGAAAGTTCGGCAATGTCTACCTGTCACGAGAGAAGTCCTGTAAGTTCATCATCGCACTCAAGGTATGGATGGCCTTTGTTAGCGTTCCTTGTACGGCTAAGCTCACATGTCTCGGCTACAGATATATGAGAGGTCCACAATGAAAAACCAATAACTGGGAACAGAAAAAAGAAAAAAGGTGCAAGCACACACACACACCGCCTCTCAGTTTCAGGCGGTGTGTGCTTACCGTCTTTTTCTTCTTCTTTTTTATCGTTATTATGAGGGGTGTTGAATAGTTTATCTACTTGAGTATGAAACAAAGTAGCACACATGATGAAACAAGTCTGGGCATGTTGAAACAAGTATGGGTGCATCTCGTGACATGTTTAAAAGTTACTCACGCACAGTTGCAGTTCGGTGCGACTCTAAGGCTCCACAAAAGAGGATGTCAGGGGCAGGAGAGATTTTGTGCAAATCAGGTAAGAAAATGCTAAATTTAGAGGAATGTTCCATAATAAAATTTCTCACAAAAAAAAAGAAAGAAAGAAAAAACTTGGAAGACGTCTAAGCTCCGCCTTTAAGACCGGAACGGGAGAGCGAAACATATAAACGTATAAACTCCCGCTCGTTCCTGAGCCGTTCGAATCCCGTCATAGATTCTACAACTTTTTCTGTAATTACGGGAAATTAATTACTTTATAGACTGAAACGGTTGGAGATACGCGGTGGCCTTTAATTTGCATTACATGTCATGTATTTTAACAACTTCCATTCCACGCGTGACGTCACGTTTCACGCGAGCTTTGTGGGTTGTTTGAAATTCCCGCGCAAGGTCATGTCCCTGTGACGTCATGATGCTATCGACCAATCAGAATTTTCTCGTCACGCCACTGTCGCCGGATTTTTCGCGACACGAGCTCCTTAACGATTTCGCGTTAAAACCTTTCCTCCAGTACTTTAATTCCTCCTGAGGAGGCACTCTAACCTCTCCCTGTTGGCTTCAATACGGTTGATTGAACTCAATTTCATCAAAACACATTTTAGGAAACGGGCAAGTTTTATCGAAGCTCGGTTTAGAGAAAACGTAGCCTCAGTTTGAAGAAACGCCGTTTATCAGAAAGGTGACGCTGTTTAGCGAATCCGTTCGGTCGGCGTATTCAAATCTGGAAGCCGCAAAAAAGCTAGCGCGTGTTTCACTGCGGCGTGTTTACAAAAGCCTCCCCCCCCCCCCCCCCCCCCCTTCTCTGTCCTCACTTTCGCCACTTTCGCCCCGTGAACTAGGCGAGACGCGAAAGGTTTCCCTCGCCCTAGCCTAAATTGAGTTTCTATAACAACGATTTCGCTAAAAAAAGGCTCGTCGCTATTTTCTCTAAACTCCGTTTCTCTATAAAAAAAATCTATAAAAGGGGACCTCTAAAGGGGTGTCCAAACAGAACACTACAAAACGCACGACTCCGACAAATTGTGAAAATTGAAGCGGACGCGCCACCTTCAAGCCCGCTTCAATTTTCACGATTTGTCGGAGTCGTGCGTTTTGTACTGTCCTGTTTGGACACCCCTTAAACCGACGTTCGGTAAAACGCATGCCTCCATATTTCTCAATGAATGCACTACCACTATTTGAGATGATTTTATTAGCACACATTTTCAATCATGTTGGCTGGAATTTATAGTTCTTCAGGGCGGCTTAGGCAGTACTGAGAAGGGTAGCGTGGTCGCGATCACACGCGTCTAGAAAAAAATACATTGCTCCTATGCTGGGGCAGGCATTAAAAGTCGCTCTCTAGCCTTACCCTGGGTGAGAGTGTCCGCTCATCTCAAGGTCTATTCATACGATGCACCTTTTGGGCGAATCTTGTGTTGTCGCGCAACTAGGTTTCGGGAAACAGATGACCTGTGTGAACGCGACCGAAAAAAAATTGGGGCTTTAATCCACGCTGTGAAGGCCAAAGCACGCAATATAGACCCTTTGAATGACAAACGCCGCCAGGTGGTGCTCCAGTCTTTACCGTTCAGAGAACTTCCGGTTGATAAAAAGAATGAACAAAGGCCACCTTAACATCGCTGCTTCAAAATGTAGATGAAACGTATAACCACCAATTCTCCAGGTGAACGCCAAAAGAACGAAGGAGTGCAAGATCTGTTCAAATGTTTCGAGTAAACCAACTTGCCTCCTCCAAGACCAGTGGCGTACCAACTTGTTTTTGAGTGTGTCTCTGTGGAGGGGGGAGGGCACACCAGACTCCCCTCCCCCCAGTGACGGGGGCGCGGTGTCCTTGGTATCCCTTGGGTGTCGGCCGGCAAGTGTTTGCCCTGCCCAGTGGCAGCTGTTTGAGGGGGGGGGGGGGGAGGGGGGGGGGGCAAAACACATGTCTTGCCCCCCGCTCTGAGAACTGGGGAGGGGGGGGGGGGAGGCAAACGCCCCCGTTGCCCACCCGTCGGTACGCCCATGTCCAAGATGTAATACTGTACAGCCGGAGGCCCTCGTTAAATCACCAACTTTGTTGTCCGTGTAGCATTTATGCTTTCTAGCACTGGTGGCATAAGCAAGCTCCACAGGCAAAGACGGCTCGACCGGAGGTCACTTGGGACCCGTGCGGCAGCTCATGTTTCTAAACAGCAAAAGGGTCTATACCAAATGATTTACAAAAGAAAAGTAAATGCAGTGCACCAAAACTTTTTTATATATATATGAAAGACTTCGTACGCTGCCTTTGCCGCGGTAGCTTTTGCAAGCGCGATCTTTACCGTGAAACGCATGCGGAGAGCGTTATACCTGCTTCGCATTGTTAGTGGGGCTAGTGACGTCACTCCCCATTTCGTACTCTGCCTTTGCCACGGCAACTTATGCAACCGCAATTTTTACCGAGAAACGCATGTGGGGAGCGCTACGTGCTTATCATCGTTCGCGTGCGCCTTATCATCTATCATGTGGTTTTGACACTTGTTTTGTGATTTTTTATTGGAGTAAGTGCCAAAACCACATGACAGATCATGAGGGGCGCGCGAACAATGGTAATGAGCGCGTGATGGTTTTCTGTCGGCTACTGTTCTGTCGACGGACACGAAAAAACCCGATCAACGAGTCATATACAGCTTCGCTGTAAAAGTGGCGCGCCTCTGAAAAAGGTTGCGCGGGCTCGTCGCTTCTGGGACAATCTTTTGCTGAACCTCACCGAGGCCTGTCAATCACCTGACGCTGAAGGAGAAACGCGGACGTTGCCAATGGCCGCTCGACTTCGCTATGACGGCTAACCTTCGAAGCGGATCGAGGTTTTGGAAGAGTCTGATTCTTGGCCGATTTCGTATCCGAGCCAAAGCAGGAAAGAAAAGGAAACATGGCGGGCGAGCGACGAGGGAAGAAGCGGTGCGTACGGGCAACATGAGTCTTGGTCCTACTCGGTTGTAAGTGTGTAAACGGCGATTTAGCAGTACGGGTTGGTGGCACGCTGCAGATTTATCAACAGTCGCGACGAGCGCAAGCACCGGATATAAACCTGTTGACTGGGGATAACTTTATTTTAGTGGTGCAAAAATGTCCGAAATTGTTTTAGATCATCCGCCTGTTCTTTGACGTTCACGGCCTTTCCCGGCTTTAGCAGGACCAGTAAACCCAGTGAGCCGCATCTGACGAAGTTTATTGGGTGGTATTAATAAAACAGACTGTCTCTTCACACTCTATGCGTACTTCATATCCTCTTGATGCGAAACGCTTGACATTCCCGGTTCAGATGACAAGGACTGGTGAAGGCGAGCGGGTTGAACCTGAATACATAAAATTGAAAGAATAAAACACGGATAAAGAAAGTGGTTGTCCTGTGCTTGTCCTCCGTGTTTTATTCTTTCAATTTTATGTACAGATGACAAGGTTTGGCGATATTCTTGTGAGTCAAAACGTCACAGGTTCCGCGCGTCAAACTCCACGTGTGAACAGGCCATTATCTCGAAATCTCGATTTCGCTAAACCGTGGCGCCTTGAAAAGATGCATCATGTGAATAAGCCTTTACAAAGCAAAATCTGGGTGCAAAATATTTTAGTCGGGTTGAGAGCCTATTGATGATGATGACCGTCACCCAGATGGGCTATAGTTGCCCAAAAAGATAAAGAAAACGGCATCTTGGCAGGTTCAGTGGAGAAAATAATTAATGGTAAAAGCATATGTCAAAAGTTAGTGCAAGACGGGTCCCAAGAATACTGTATGTCAGAAGACCACAAGGAAGTAGAATATGCTCCGTGAAGACATTTTTTCCTTCTTTTTTTTGTGACTGGAGATTCGATTTCGGTCTATCACAGTGATCCTGAGTTCAAAATTGAGTAGGTGCAGTGGAAGCACTGGTCATTCCTATCAAAAATTAAAAAAAGTTCAAGGCAAAAACATCGGCAGGAAAAGTCATGGCAACTGTCTCCTGAGATGTTGAAGCACCGTGGCTTCTGGAGTTCATACCACATAAGACAACAATAACCGGGAGTGTTATGGCTGTTATCGCTTTGCGGTAGTTAATCAAGGAAAAAAGACGACGAAACTCACACCGGGTATGCTCCTTTGTCATAAAGATGAGCCTGTTACACCCGACTTCATCAATCACAGGCTATGATCCAAGAATGTGGGTTCAGCAACAGATCCATCCACCGTATACAGTCCTTGCCTGGCTTCCTCGGATTATTTCTTGTTCCGACTTTTGAAGAAATCTATGTGGACAGCGGTTTTTAAACGACGAAGAGATTAAGCCAAGTGTGACGTCCTTGTTTAATGGTAATATAGAAGCAGTGGCGTAGGTAGGCAGCGGGGGGGGGGGGGGGGGGGGGGGGGGGGGGGGGGGGTTCAGGAGTCGAAACCCTCTCGCTCCCCCGCTCACGCTGTCGGTTTTGCACGGGACATGGAGCAAAGGGGAAGCGCAGGCTATCTCCAACTTATATGCTTTCGGGAAAAGTGTTTGTGGGGTAGAAAATGCTCAAATAAATAAAATACGCAATATTTCTTCATTCATGTTTATTTGATGTCATGCAGAACCTGATCTCAGATATATAGAGAATGGATATTTCGAAACATTTGTGGGTTGAAGGATGACAATTTTAAGGCCAAGCATAAAAAAACTATCCCCACTGAAATACGCAGTTCAATAAACCAAACAGAACATAATAAAACGAACACATGATGAAAATATAAAAAAATGTCAGTGATGTAATATTAAATTATTTGTAAAAACAACTGCACCGTAATCAACGGGTGGCGCTGCGCTCACGCACACCTTGAGTAATGATCAGAATTACGTGCTTTCGACTAGAAATTACCACGAATAAAAAATTAAGTGTGACTAGTTATTTCAGAAAGCAATTTGCAGGCTCTCTTGATCACCTCATTCATGCCAAGCGCCTACACATTAAGATGCAGCCGCCTGCCTTCACGGACGTCCTCCGCTTGAACTTCAATGTCGCGGTAAACATTCAAAAGCGATAGACCGAACAGTCGCTCATTCGAAGTGGACGCTCTCAGGTATCCTTTCAACCGTCGTAGTGGAGAGAACAAGCGCTTATAGCGAGTTCGTTTCACACGCACTGGCACCGTTCGAGTTCTCTCCCAGAATGCATCGCACTCACAGAGTGTTGCACGGAAAACTAGACTCAAACGAACTCGCCAAATGCACCGCGTGCAGAAGACTGATGTTGCCGCCATCTATGTTGTAGAAAAGGTACCGACTTCAAACCGAAACTAGCGCCTTTCTGTTCGGAGTGATGCGTGGGAATGCGAGAATGCAGTCGGCTACCAACGTTTATCTACAAACTGTGGTCGCTGCAACCTGTAGTTTATAGTTGCGATGACTTCAAGCAGCTCGGCTGCCGTAGAGATAGTTACAGACGGCGTAAATTTTCGCACCCAGTTTTATACAAAGCAGCTGGTTACGATCTTTCAATTCTTATAACCGTTTACACTGAAGAAAACTGATGATGCTGTCCGAGCAGAAGCTTGATCCGTTTGAGCATGGTATTATGCGTGAACCACTGAAAGGGTACGGCTTAAAACTAGCCTGTTGGAATATCCAGCAAAACTGGGACTTTCGATTTGGATTGTCATTATAGGTGGATCAGAAATTAGCCTTGGTGAGGGCGTCAAGAACGAGAGCTTTCTCGAACAAAATACGACGGGGCAAGTTAGCCGACGTAGGTAAATGTTAAACATGATGATGTTGCCCAATCCTCGGGTAAAGTTACCATCTTTAGCTTTCTCTGATGCTTATTGGGCAGACAGAGGTTTCTGCTGGGGGAGTGTTGCCGACAAATGTTAAATTTTCCACCCGCACACGGATGATGATAGACATCTCGGGGGCCGCTGTTACGTTTGTTCTGAGCATTTCTTTACACACTGGTATATTTCAGCGTTTGTACGGCAACAGAGCGATTTAAAACCTGCAAATAAATCACGGGTTGTCAATTGCTTCCTTCGGGAAATAGCAGACGCTCACAATTCAAGCTCGCGTTTAATTTCGTGGCCCGCGGGACGCGACTTCTATCAGAAAATCTACTTTTTGTTCCGTTCGGTTCAGCGACACATCGTAGCAGACGAACCCTCGTCGCCTGCTCCCGCTCCCCGCCGGCCCCGCCGGAGCGAGGCATGACGGGATTGCATTTTGGCGCACTCCCGATTTTCTCGGTGCAGCGAGTGCATGCACGCGTGGGGTATCAGCGCTGAAACGAACTCGGAGAGTGCAACCACTCGTGGAGTGCCGGCTGAAACGAACCCGTTCCACGCTGCGAGTGGGCACGCGTGGGCACGAGTGCCGTGAAACGAACTCGCTATTAGTTTCCGCGGTTCTTACGGGCAGAATCTCTAAGATCTTGAGGAGACGGTGGTCGTTTGGGAAGAGGGCCTCCGGAGAGAGGGCAACCGCCTGTAGCGCAGATGTGAAGGAAGTTTCACGTTTCTCTGTCTTTTTTAGCTCATATAAGCAGCTCGCATTGATGAACAGGAACTGAAACCAGGCCTGAAAAGAGCTCCAAAAACTCTTCACCGCCCCGAGCTGCCCGGCTTTCCAAGATTTTTGCAGGCAGAAGCGACGAAAGTAATTGCAACGTACGCCGGTTCTTTTGAAATATCCCATCTAACTGTGTGATCAGGTAGAAAAGAAGGAACGCGGAGCGCTTAAAATGCTCCTTCGTGCTTCCAGCGGGAATGTTAGAGCGGTACCGTTGCCGACTTGTTACTCGCGGCATCTGAAATTCAACTTCCGCTGTCTCGGCCATTTTAATGGCGGCTTGGGATATTGCCTAATGTTTGTGGGTAAACGCTTGCTCTACTTTTTCAGCGTCGATATATATATATATATTTTTTTTTTTGCTTGTGTTGCTGTTTAATTTTGTGACAGTATAGCTATTCTTTTGTTTTGTCTGGCCGGCACGCGTTGGTAATGCAGTGCTACCTCAAAAAGCGGAGGGAGTTATGTGCTATGAGGAAGGTTTTAAGGTTGGTGGGCCGAAATTACGACGACAGTAGTACAGTTGAGCCACTCCGCCCGTATTCCTATAAATGAAGCCTGCTCCGTTTTCAAAAATGACAATGCAGCTTTAACAGTTTCATCTGCAGCGCCTAGCTCGCTAATCTTTGCGTGAGCGTCCGTACTGCCGAGTTCACCCTGCTTCGTCACTAGGGAGGGGGGGGGGGGGGGGGGGGAACAATGCCGTTAAACCCCCTCCGAAATAAAATCCTGGCTACGCCATGGTATAGAAGACCTCTTTTTTTTTCAAAGGGGCGACATTGCAAGGCAGGTGGATGAAGTGTTTAAATTTATTGGAAAATTAAACAATTTTTTTTTTAAATCTCTTATTTTACACAGAGGTATATATACATTATTAAACACCCCTCGTAACACAGACATTAAGAAACTTGAAAGAGTTATAAAAAATGTACACTGCGGGATACACAGACCAAAACGGACAAAATTGTGTGACTGTTAGAAAATAGGCCCCACATTAACGTCAGGAGGTAGGATTTATTCATATATCCTCTTCAAATGAGATCCAAGGTTGAAATTGTAGGGTTTATTTTTTTTTTGTTTTTTCTTTTTAGAAGAAAATATTTTTGCAATGTTTCTTTCTTTTTTCTTTTTTTAGTTTTGTTTATAGCGGAGGCTTATCCAGTGGAGGCACTGTGGTTGGCAATTGTTTGTGAAAAGTATATTTTTAATACCAAACTTGTTATTATATATAGACGTCAAACAAATTAGAACATCCTCCTTTCTGTTGCTTTAGCATACCCATATTTTATAAGGAAACCGATATCAGCCATATTCCGCTAAAATGCCAGTCATAAGAGCGAGCTCTCTGTTCCTCTTTATCACCACCAGGTGGCAGCTATCAGTTTCAGCATAACTAGGGTGGCGATAATCCTCAGAGTAGGTAACTACATCGCGGAACATCTGGTCACCCTAAGCCTAACTCGATAAACGACGGGCGCCACGGCCCTCGACTGTGAGCCAATCGGAGCGACGGAGCAAAGCATATGATCTCTTCATAGCCAAGTGGAACTTCCGCGGTGCATTGTCCCACGCCTCGCTCTCACATGCTGGTTAGCTCACTGGAGCCATGTCTTTTGCCTTTTGTTAAGTTACGATGCAACAGAGTGTAGCGGAAAACCTGCGGATTTAAGCGAAATGCATGTTTTTGTTACTGGTAAGCCTTTAGTGACATTGGTTCTTTGAAACTAAATTATCAGTGGCCTCCTTATAATGTACTCCGCCTAATGATGAGCGTCTATCTGTGCATTTCTTGCAAAACCCTTCTTGCAGGTGATGTTCAAGTCTCAACTGCAGAAAAACGAGGTTGAGATTCAGCTTCGCAAGGAAATAGAAATCCAGTCACACCTCAAGTATGTATCTGCTCCTGTCGGTGTGGGCATATTGAGTGTCGCAATCATTTTCAGGGTCAAATGCTCAAGCTTATGCTGTAGCATTAACTAAACGGTTTCAGGCAGGTGGAGTGATGTACAGGGATGTAAAGTACCTAGGTACAAGTAATTTCAAATCGGTAACTAAGTACTTTCGTTTCACCTGAGGTACAAACATAGACAATTTTATTTCTTCTTATTTGTACCTGTATCTTAGGTTCATTTTCCAGTAACTTTTAACATAGTGGAGTTACTTTTGGTAGGTTCTTTTCGCTCACTTTAACCAAAACATAGAAAGTAAGAACTGGGAAGTATTGACGCGCTAAGGCAGAGTCGAAGGGCACAGTCAGCCAGACGTAACGAACATCGAGATGAGTTGATTGAGCGGTACCCCCTGTTGCAGGCGGTGGACAATCTGCGGCACCCTGGACTACCTGCCGCCTGAGGTGGTTGAGTTCAGTGTGTACGACGAAAAGGTGGACATCTGGTCGGTTGGCGTACTCACCTACGAGTTCCTGGCTGGCAAGGCGCCCTTCGAGTCCACGACGGTCAGGGACACTCACCGCCACATCTGCGCCATCGACATCAAGTTTCCCGACTTTGTCTGCGAACCAGCGAGGGACCTCATCACCAAG